CGAAGACAAAAAGATTTCAACGAATAAATCCTAGGTTTCGGTAGGGGCGTGAGAAGTACACTAATAGTGCTTGCCTATGCAGCTTTGATAGCCCACTTGGGGGAGCTACTCAAGCGGACCACCGGTATATGAGGAGTTAGGTAGGTAATTAATTATAAATCCACATTGTCGGATGTTTTTGGTGTTCGCTGATCGAATAAGATCAACATCACGTGATTAGGCATCAAAACTTTGTATTTATCCGTTTATCAATAGAAATTACCATAGCGTTGAGCCCCTAGAAAGTACTACTACATATCACCTTATCGCTTGTTCGATCCCGCTGCCGCCGTGCCGCAGCCTATGCCTCAACCAGTAAATTATTCCGTACTACCGCTCTGTACAATGCAGCCACGACTCAGAGAATGGCCAATGATGAACAAAAGTCATGTAACTTGAAAACAACCCGCGTGGGTAAAAGGCAAAAAAAGCCTCAACGCTGTCACATTTCTTGCCGCGTCATGTTCGCAAGTACCTATAATCTTCTTGCCGCGTCTCAAGAGGCCTTCTAGAAGGTTGCAGGCGTCTTCGAGAACCTTGGCAATCCGTCCCGTCGAGTTGGTGCAGCATGGATCTCGAACGCCCGAGTATTGCTTTTTGACGAATCCTCCAACGAATGGTAGAGTATGACGCGAGAAACGTGGAAAATACGACACCTAAAAGGATTTAGTTGAGAGGATACACTATTGAGGATGAGATGTGGTGCCGAACTGGGTCGAGACGGCCCCGATTCGACATGGCCATGTGCTTTGCCTACTCGCCAACCGGCACATAATGATGCCGAGAGGGCATGGCGAACATGCCACCCCATAGTTCTTTACATGGGTAAGGGACGAATCGATCGACCTTGATCTACGCCAGCCCGATTGATTGATGCAGCGGCACGGAGGCGTCTCACGACGACTATGGGCTTACCTCACCGGTAAGATGGAGGCTAAGCTTCTCGAGGACTAGGGTGGCCCTCGCTTGGAGGCATCTGCAGCCCGACTCAACGACGTACTTGCTTACAATGCACTATTTATTTTACTAGAGCTTTTGCGTCTGGTCTTCCCATGCTGTTACTATTTGGGTATCCTGGGCGTTTGGTGGCAACGGCTTGCTTCCTGTATACTACCCCAACCACCGCGAGGCTGTACACTGCTGGGGTGTTGTCCATGCTCCAAAAACTTCGGTAATTTGCAAAGGGCAGACCCCTGGTACGCAGGGAATAGGAGCCAAGAAAACATCATGGTCTGGGTTGTCGGCATGCACACGTTGGCTTGCAAGGATTCATATAGCAGCCTGCATGCAGGTTTTTAGCTCATTATCATAGGCTGTCTTATGCAAAATATATGCATCCCAAGTAAGTGTTCGCTGACTGCATCTGCAGCAAAGAGCGTTGCTTTCGTTTATCTGCATATTTGGGTAACACGGCTGCCTCACATGAGTTGGCTGTAGTATGTAGTACATTAGATGTAGGAGGGTCTTGCAGTGGGGCAGGATTTCCAAGACCCCATGGGGTCACAGCGTCATGCCTCGTCGCCCAAGCCACAAGTGGGACCCATATCCGGGCGTGACCGCTACCCGGTCTGCATGGAGCTTACCGCCGCCAGACTTTGTTCTCCAAATTACATGATACGGAAGAGCAGCCAATTTCGGCGTAGGGTTACAAAACCAGTGGAGTCTCCCCGCTGACCTTGAATACAAAGAGCGGCGCAGCATCTATCTTCAAAGCTCTTGTATTGGTTGCAGCACCGATTTTTTCCTGGGTCACAGCTAAACAACAAAAACTCACGATGCCTTCTACCAGATCACTCGTCGCTGTCGGCGCGACAATTGGACAAGCTTTGGCAAATGCCGTGCCCAAATGTGCCCAGATCGTTGACCAGAAGAGCTTCAATGTTCTGCCTGTCGTCCCGCCGGCCGTCGAATACAATGGAACCACCGTAAGTTTTCTTTTTTTTTGCAAAAAGCATCTACCTTTTGTATCATCTAACTAGAGACAGCCGTTTATATGGCCTGGTACAACCGCGGAATCACTCCTAGCCAAACCTTTCCACATTTACGACCCGGAATTCTACGATGTGATTGGCACTGATCCGTCTCTGACTACCATTGCAACCTCACCATCGGATCCTCTCTTTCACGAGGCGGTAACGTGGTACCCTCCTACCAACGAAGTTTTCTTCGTTCAAAACGCCGGACCACCTGCTGCAGGCACTGGATTGAACAAGTCTGCTATCATCCAAAAAATCGCCATTGCCGATGCCGAGAAGGTCCGCAAAGGAAGTTTGAAGTCGGTGCCCATCTCGATTGTGAACACATCGAACCCGCAAATCATCAACCCCAATGGTGCTACCATGTACAAGGGAAAGCTCATTTTCGCCGGTGAGGGTCAGGGTGACCGTGTGCCATCAGCTCTTTACGTCATGGACCCTACGCCACCTTACAAGACTACTAGTAAGTTATTCTTATAGCCTCCAAAAAGCATAGTTGGGGACCATCACTAACAAAAATAGCTCTTCTCAACAACTTCTTTGGTCGCCAATTCAACTCGCTCAATGATCTTATTGTCAACCCTATCAACGGTGATCTCTACTTCACTGATACAATCTACGGCTTTGTCCAGGCCTTCCGTCCCTACCCTGGTATTAGACAACAAGTGTACCGTTACAACTTCAACACCGGTGCTACCACCGTTGTGGCTGATGGAATGGAGCACCCCAACGGAATCGCATTCTCCCCTGATGGCAAGAAGGCCTATGTTACTGATACCGGTATTGCCAATGCCAACTACGGCCTCAACCTGACCGCCCCTGCATCCGTCTACTCTTTTGATGTTACCAAGGACGGCACTTTCAACAACCGCCAGACTTTCGCCTTCGTCCCATCTTTCATCCCTGATGGTACGTAATCTACAACCGCAAACGCATCCGATATTTGCATTTGCTAACAAAATTCTGCAGGTATCAAGAACGACTCCAAGGGCCGCGTATACGTTGGTTGCGGTGATGGCGTCTGGGTCTACAATGCTGCTGCCAAGCTTATTGGCAAGATCTATACTGGAACGACTGCTGCCAACTTCCAATTTGCTGGAAACGGCCGCATGATCATTACTGGACAGACTAAGCTGTTCTACATCACCCTGTCTGCGGCCACCACCGGCACAGCAATCCAATAGACGCATGTATATGTAGTACCTTAGATTTGTTGCATCTGTACAATAGCGCAATACCGAGAAGACCTCATGAGTCGTGTATCGGGCTGATATATTCAAAACATAATGTAATGTCGATTTTTTTGGACCAATAGACGCATGCTGCATGTATGTACGAATGTATGACGGAAATGAGTGGTGATTGCGAACACGTCAAGTGGAGAAGGCAAATTGTCACGCCACAGCTGACACTACCGTCAATGACATCCGGACCGTCCATGGTTCCGAATTGCCAGCTTCCATTTTCGACCTGGTTAGGAGCTCAGCCGCTATACCAAGTCCCATTCCGCGGAGCAACTAGCGGCAGCGGAGATTGGTGCTGCTGTGCCACGCCAAGTCTGCCGGCGTGAATAGAAGGGCCGAGGAACCCCGTTCCGCCGCACAGCCCCATGGGAAAGAATGCCCCTTCGCAAATGCGCAGCCTCCTGCAGCTTGTGAAAGACTTGGGCCCACGAAACCAGTCAAAACACCGCACGACACTAGTCCCTGTGTTAGAGAGAGGATTAGAGTTTGGACATGATACGGGCGACCTGTCCACCTACCGTACTTCGTATTTTTCACCGTTCCAAGTCTCTTATGGTTCTTGGTCTAATCATCACGTATTAGAGTAATGGAAACTGAACAATCCAAGATCTTCTAAGATCGGACGATCATACAACCCCCTTCCCTCCCCCCACGAGTGTCGGCCGGTACGCCAAGAAGCAACGACTAGGAGGCTCTTACCCTGATGTCAGTCCTTCACGTTGGGCGTCGAGACGTTGACACACAATCCGTGTTATTGGACAAAGGCTTTGCCTAGTCCTATGCTGCAAGGGACGATCTGCAATGCATAGGAGTTTGGGACAGACGAGCGCATGAGTCGTCTGATGACCCTCCTCCATCTCCCCCGCTCGCAGCATCGGCCTACCTTTACTTTTTCCGTGCGCCTCCCCGTGTGTTGACGCGCAGCAACCATGTGTATTACAGTGGTCGGTAAGACCGTCCTTCTAGCCCTTCCCCCGTGCCCATGTATAGGTGTATTGCGAAGGGTGGGCGAACCAAATCGTCGGGTCCCTCGCGACAATAGTCAGACGGCGACTGATCGGAGGATAGCATTTCGACCTTCCAGGCTTGAGTTCACGCCCGTAAAACTTCTAGTTCGCTTATGGTCTGTACAGAAGTGGAAATCAGCGTGAACTAATCTGTTCACAAAGAGAGTTCACTAGATCTATCAACCTGGTGAATGGCAACTCCCGCTCTGACAAGAGCATATATATGCGAAGAGCTGAGACCTAACTGAAAGGCCCGATGTCGTGCAATAGTTGGCAGGGGTGGCGAGGGCCGCGTTACCTTACCACAACAGACTAGGACACGGATGGGAGCATGTGGTTAAGCGAAGACAAGGCCTTGCCAAGTTGGCAATTCGCGACCTGAGTGAAGTGCCGAGCCACCTATTGACGGCTCGCCATCAGACCAGAGATGGTTGCTTAGTCCCTGCCGGCTGGACCCCCAAAGGGAACAAGGGTTTGGTTTAAGGCGCTCAACCAAGATGAAGGCTATCCCTGAAGGTACGGCTCGCCTACGGAGAAAACGTTGACGTTTGAGATGGTCCTGTTCCCCATGGTTGACAGGGCACCCACACATGTGCGCCAAGATGCTTGCAGGGTGGGTTCCTTCTTGAAGTAAAGTGGAGGTTGATCTCCCAGATCTGAACGCTCATCAACTCCACCTTTTTGCTTTGTTCTACGATATCCTTTTCGCAATCACCCCCCCTGCTTTGCCAACCATGGCGATCGTCCTTCCCATCGCGAAGGTCATCGCGGCCGTGTTCCTCAGCATAGCATTATACAACTTTCTCGAGCTTAATGTCTACATTCTCACCCTGTTCAAACGGCGCAGCGGGCTGTATTTCTGGAGTTTCACGGTTGCCACATATGGAATCCTTTTCAACTCGATTGGATACATGCTCATGCATTTGGTCCAAATCGAGACGAAGAACGTATACGCTACATTAATCCTCATAGGATGGTGTTGTATGATCACTGGCCAGTCGGTGGTGTTGTATTCGCGGCTGCATATTGTTATGCACAACCTCCGATGGCTCAAGTATGTCCTGACCATGATCATCGTCAACGCAATCTGGCTACACATTCCTGTTATCGTTATCGTATATGGTACAAACTCAGCCGACCCGAAGCCCTGGATACCGGTGTATAACATATACGAACGAATCCAACTCAGTGTCTTCATCGCCCAAGAACTCGTCATCTCAGGCCTCTACCTCTTCGAAACCACCAAGCTCCTCCGCCTGGAGCGTACTATTGGAAACGTTGGTACCCGGAAACTCCTTTACCATCTCATCTCGGTCAACGCTCTTGTCATCCTCCTCGACTTCAGTATTCTCGCCCTGGAATTCGCCGACCTCTTTGAGATCCAAACGTCCTGGAAGCCACTTGTATACAGCATCAAGCTCAAACTCGAATTCAGCATTCTCACTCGTCTCGTCAATTTGACGCGAAAGGCCAGGAGTGGAAACGGGGCCAGCTCCTACGGCAACAACGCATATGGTAACAACGCATATGCAAACCGCGGAGTAGAGGCCGGAGGCGTGCCACTGGGAACGATGAGGGCAAAGAGCAACATCCAACGGTCAATGGTAGGAACAGGCAAGGACGAAACAGACACATGGGAGGTCCACGTTAGCACTGGCAAGGGCAACACCAAGGCCATGCCAGCGCAGGTGGTCAAGACGACAGAATTCACGGTGCACAGTCACAGCAGACAAGCGAGCACAGAAAGTCTGGTGGAGAGCGGGAAGAAAGCATTTGTTCACACGACTTCAACAGAGTCGCATGAGATTGAGAGGGATAGCGCGTCGTCTGTCTTGTCAGATCCGCATTACAGAAGGCACAATGAAGGTCAGCAATGGTAATACCGCTGGAAGGAATATACCGATCGATACCAATATTTTCTTTGTTTTTTTTCCTAACGAAAGCGCCTTTCTCTGATATCCGTTAATTTTCCTTTTCCTTTTTTCTACATTCTTCCAAAATCCATTTTCTTCTTCTCTTCTCTCCTTCATCCTTAACCTTTGAGATCACGCGCGCACACGCACGCGCACGAAATAATGAGACGATATTTTTCACTCAAACCTTGTGACGCGCGTTTCCCATAGATGACCTTTTTTTCTTCTCGCCTTTGATACACATACCTACAACTGTGCACAAGTTTCTGTCCTGGGATAGGCCGGACGGAGTTGACTTGGGCGCAAGCATAAATTCTACAACACTGTTTGCAAGGTTTTTTGCACAAAAAAAGGGAACCCGACGGAGTGGTGTAAGACAGACAAAGTCGGAGCTAAGTATCAAGCCTTCACGCAGAAAAAGTTGTTCGAACCAGTCACACGTTCGGTGCTGTCTTCGTCTTACTACAATGTCTCAAATAGAAAGGGGAGGCGAGGCGACGGGGGGCAAGGGAGAGTCCCGTGCCGGTGTGGCACGATACTATCTGACATTTTGTTCGCGTGGCTAGCCGCGAACTTACTAGCCCTAGTACCGTACTTACTTGCCTCCTAACCGCATGCGGGTCACGCTGCTCACCCCACCACCCCCAGCCGTGCTTACGTTTAGAATGCTTGCACTGGGTAAAGTACGTATGCCCAGGGCATTAAAAAAAAAGAAAAATAACCCCCCCGGCTTAAAGTTTCTCGGTTCCAATCTGTGCATGTTCTTTTCTTACCTTGACTCTCCCGCAACCCCCTCCTCCCAAGGATATCTTGGAAGGGGGTCCTACCAGGTACATCCGCACTCCGAGGCCTAGACGCATCCGCGGGGAAAGAATCATCATCGATCTAGATGCGAATCGATCTACTTTACCTAATAATCCCCGTTCCTTCCTCTTTTTGCGCTCCCTGGGGGAAGAAGGTCCCAAGACCTGTCGCGTGAGAATGACATGATGGCCAGCAAACCCCCGACAACCCCCCCAAAAAGAAACAAGCGTGCGGTGCTTCGTTTCCAGACGCACGGAATTTGCGGGGGGAATGGGATGAATTAGGCTGTTGGTTATTTGTAAAGTAGTGCGCGGCATATACTGGCATTGTTTCGGCTCGATTTGATTAAGAAAGAGTCCGAGAGAGTGTGGACGGAAAAATGCGCAGATAACGAGGTGAGAATTTTTTCGTATTTGGCCCGGATATTATAACGTGCCTCGTTATCGTTGGACCTCCGCCACCGTTAAAAGACTTTGCTATGTCAGCAGCCCGTTTAGCAACTTTCTTTTTTGCCGTTTCGTGGCTGAATACCGAGTGATTGGATAATGAATCTCCGCTGCCCAACTTTTGTCCGTATTCTTTTTGGGTCGAATCTGATCGCAAGCGCTTCTCGGTCGAGAGTCGGTAATTTTTGGGTGAGGTTGGCGTTTTTGTTCAATCAAAGCCATTGAAAGTTTGGAAGGATTGGAATCCCGGGTTTTGGGCTCTTCTCTTGATTCATCTGGTCTTGATCGTATTGGGTGTTCTTGATGGCATCGCACCAACCGCTCAGTGAGACGTGCTTTGGTTCTCCTGCATCGCTGGCCGTATTTGCGTTCCTGGCTTTGCATCTTTACCAAGAGCAACGTTGCTTATCTCGTCAGTGTCGGCTTGGCCCATTAGAGTGTCTCTTGGATTCGATCGCTCGTATCCTGCCCGGAGACTGATCATCTAGGAAGTCGGTCAGCTCAGGCCTGTCGTTCAGGCTTTCGTATAACCGGGGGGACAATAAGTATATCAAGGTCGTCGCTGACTTGCGACAAGTATGAAACGAGGAGTTGGAGTAATTTTTCCATCTCCAGAAGATAAATCTATGCAGCAAATCACAAGAGCGGATTGTCCCGCGATATTCCTCATGCCGTCCCATATATCCTGTACTGGTGATGGGTACTCGGCAGTTGATGTGAACACAGCTGTGTTATGTGTTATGTAATGCGATGCTGAATCCGTCCATCGGTACGTTCGTATGCGGGCATTGCAAGATCCATGTGCTTTGACACTTAATAACGCATCAATTATCAGTCATAATGCTGTTCCTTGGTCGACCATGTAGACTTAGGGCACCGTGTGTTATGGTTTCTGAATGTCTTAGGACAGTTTCGTCTTAGTGCACGTGACAGTGTTGATGGGAGGAGCGTTTGAGCGTGGTCGGAATAGAGCGGAAATGGTAGGTGTCAACGATGGGACATGATATTAAAACAGAAATGGTCGCCCAAAGTGAAAAGATTTGTACTTATGTTTGAAGGCAAAGTCGTTCATTCCGGATCTCAGCGGCTGCTGATGTGTACATCCTCAGTGACTCCCGGCGACTATGTGATTGAAGCCTGAGATGTTGAGTAGCTTCGCGATACTTTCCCCAGCTTGTTCGCAAACGAAATACTTGCTCGTGCAATGGTTCTCACCAAGACTTGAGAATTGCTTATCGCTCTTCGATTCCTCTTAACACGCGGAGAAAAAAGGGTGCGGTGGTGCGGGCTGAACCTCCGCCGAACTCCGGTTCCAAACATGTCATGTCTCAGAAAATCATTTCGAGACTGCACACAAACCACGAAGTTGGTGATTCTAACCACTTGTCGCTGAAATAAACCTGCTTTCGCACAGTACCAAGCATTATGCACCATTATTTCCCGGTGAGCCACAACCGGCCGTGGCGGGCCTGACTTGCATATTACCGGGCTGCAATCTATTCCGCGCGCGCCCTTGATTTCCTCCTTCACTGAGTAGATTGAATTCCTCAGGCACCAATTTTCCGTACCTTTTTCTCTTTCTTTTTGGTTGTACTGCTGGCCAGCATGCATATCGTTGTTGAGCAATGATATTCTCTTCGTACTACCGCTCTTTACTTTTCTTTTCATCATGTTTAATACTCAGAGCTGGCGATGCTCAGATGCTGGGGTCGTGGTCTCCAGGCCAAAGAGAACTTCATGTGCGACAGAATGGCAATAACAACGGCCCTGATACAAGCGCATTCACTATCGTTAACGGAAGAATCTACACGCCTGGGTTGGGAATAATACTAGCAGTACGTCACCTGATATCCTAGCGGAAAGGCACACCAGGCTGACAAGAAGCCACAGCCTCAGCCTTTCACGCCTATGGGTGGCGATTTCCTGCACATTGCCCTCGATGTGTCAGGTGACGGCAAATTGCCTGTCCCTCCACGCAACATTGCCGACCCACTCACTCAAGTCTTCAACTTCACTCTCTTCTTGACCTCAACAATTACCCAGAAGAACTTCACAATCTCTAATATAACAACCTCCACACCACCCTTCGCGGACATACTCGACCAAGAGCTTGGCCAAACAGTCAAGCACATCAACTTCGAATGGCCAGACTGTCTCGTCGGCGACGGCAATGACGAGGAAGGTGCAACAGCAAGAGGCGACTACAACATCAGTATTCACCAAAACTACCGACTCAACGGTGTAGATCGATACACGATTTTCAATCTCCCTATTAGTGTTACCAACAGTATCCAGCCGTTCCCCGGTGCAGGCCAGTTAACTACCAAGCCCGCGCCAGGCCCATTGAGCGCAAATGGGGGCCGCATGCAGTGTGCCATGATTGAGAATCCGCTAGTGGACTTTCAGGTGCAGGTTAACAGTGTGAATAACCCACCTGGACAGCCCATGCGAGATATCCAGATTCAAACTAGCCCGCGAAGTGATGGAGGGCAGGTTGGTGCAAATGGCCAGGACGACGGATCGAGGGGGACGGGAGGGGGACAGAATGGAGGCGTAAGTGGGCAAGGCGAAATAGCACCAAACCAAGGCGCAGGTAGTAGTCGTCCTGCATTGGGCGCAGCAGTGAGAATGTCTAGTGAGTCACTTTCTGTGGTCATGATCGGCATGTTGGGGGTTGTGGTGGTGTTATTTACATCTGTGAGCTTGTGAGGCCTCAGCCCCTAACAGAGTGGTGTCTGATCAGCTGACGCAAGACTTGTGGATATGTATATCTAAATACACCATAGAGCCGTGTCGACATGGGTATATATACAGCATTTTGAAAATGAAGAAACAGAAATATATGCAGAGAACACAAAGTTTATTGCTCACACATTATAAGAGAAAAGGTATTATGAAGCCAGGGTATCACTCTTCCTCCTCTTCCTCGCACTCGCATCCTCTACCATCCCCTCTCCAACCTCGCTCTCCGCCCTCTTCCTCTTCTCCTCCCTCGTAACCTCCTCATCCGCCGACCTTTCTGTAACAAACAACGTACTCGCCGTCTCCCTAACCACATTGCTCCCCTCCGATACCTCCTCCCCACCCACCCCCTCGTCCTCCTCGCTCTCATCCCCAATCCCCAACTCCACCGTGCCCCCCTCGGGATCCGCCAACGCAGTCTGAATCTTCTCCAACCCCATGCGATCCCCCTCTACCGTCTCACTGATCTCTGGATCAACCCAGCCCTCCGTGTAACTGCCCCCAAAATCAATAATCCACAGCTCAGACTCTGCGTCCACCATGAAATTATCCGCTTTCGCATCACCCCACACAATCCCATGCTCATGCAGCGTTTTGATATAAGCTTCGCTCTTGCGACTCCACTCTGCGCGCGCACCGGCGTCGACGCTGGAGCGCAGGAGCTTAGTCAAGGGCGTTGGGTATCGGATATTCTGGAGTAGCATGCCCATTGCTTGTGTTTTGCTGGTGCAGAGGGAGACAAAGCCGAGGAGGCTGGGGAATTTGATGTCGAGATTCAGTGTCTCGAGTTTGCGGAGGATGTGGATTTCGCGTTTGACGGAGTCGGGTTGAGAGGGGACGACGGGCTTGAAGAAGTAGACTGTGCCAGTGCTTTTGTGGATGACTTGGCCGGGGTGCGCTGGGGGTGGCATGCTGACTTCGGATTGCACGATTAGGTCGTTGGGGTTAAGCCAGGGGAGGTTGTAGTTTTGGATGTATTTCGGCATTTTGAGGCGAGGGACGAGGGCTTCGATTTTGGCTTCGAGCTCGGTTGTTGTTTCGAGAAGTTGAGGGGATAGTTCACCGTTGGTGATTTGCATGCTGTAGAAGTATGTTGGGCCATGATACCATTCGTACAACGTAGATTCCTCTGGTTCGCGATTTGGGGGTGCATCGGTTTTCGTGATGTCTGCAAGTGCTCCGAGTATCCAGTTTCGCAGCTCCAAGCCTGCACTGGCTGAATCTTGGTCTAGATCTTCTCCAACCTCCTCGTCCTCCTGATCATCTTCCACAAATTCATCGTCATCGCCGTCTGCTGTGACGTCGACACCACTGTCTTTGCTGTCTGAACCCTCTGAGCTTTCCCTGCTCTTGTTCTTGCTTTTCGCCTTGCCACGATGGACTCTGGCCTGTTGCTCTTCAGCTAACTCTTCTTCCCTTTCTTCTGCCTCACGAAGTGCTGATATCTTATCAAGGTATTCGTAATACAATGGCTTCTCGCGGGACTTTTTCAATTCGTTCGGATCAACCATGACATGGTAGCGAACATCGTTGATGAGAGTTGTCAAGGCACAGCTGTCATCTTCGTCGTAGGAAAAGTGTAATGTGTGAGCTTTGGTCTTGGTAACAGATTGTGCCATTGTTGGATAGTAAAGAGAGATTTGGGTACTTTGAAGTGTATACGATGGAAGGGCAAGATTGTGTCCTCATACAAGACAACTGACCGTACACCCATGTATACCTCAACTCCCAACCTCCTCTACATCCTATAGAACCATGATCTTACATCACCGTTGTTTTCTATCACCGACCTCATCGAATTCCCAAAACGGGATGACATACCATCATGGCTTTGTTTGACCCCTGCATCGACATCATCGATATGGTACTAATCTTCAGGTACGATCGGTCGAGGGGCGTGCGGTGGCGCCAGGAATGGACATGAGTGGTTCACTTTATCTAGTGGCTTTTACTACGCGATGTTAGGGCCATCGATATGAAACTGAACGATATTAAAAAGGTTGGGTGTGAGGAAAGGAGATTGGCATGACGCGTTGACGCGCGATCAGATGTCATGACGTCAAGTAGTAGTACTAAGTACAAGCTGACCGAAAGCATTAGTGTTTCTGCGACGACAGCACCAAACACTAGCGGTGTCCATTTTGCTTATTTTAGTTTTTTAATCACTTGCATGGTCTTGGAAGAGATGTATGGGGAAGTTAGATAAGGATCAATTGAAAAGCATCCAAACGTTGTCGCATTGCTACGGAGGCGCTCGTCTGTCATTGAGATATGTCGCTGGCAGACATCCTGCACTCATTCACGCGTTCAACCGTCAGATATCCCAACCGTATACGCCTTTTTAAAATAACAAATATGCCGAACAAAGGAGCGTAAGCCTACACCCTACGGTCCCTACAGTGGCAGCAGAAGAAGCGAAACATGTGTCTCTCATAAAAAAAATCTCTTGACAATGCCAAGATCCTGAGAGCCCGTCCCATGAGTTCGAAATAAATGCGTCGGACCATCTCCCAGAGATTACACATACGCCAAGTCATTATAGGTTCGTAACATCCAAAACAATATCATACAGCCTCGCACATGTCTTCACGTTGGGAAGACTGTTTACACAGTGAAGTCCAAAAGGTCGTACGCCGACGAGTCCAGAGAAGTAAAGTCGCTCATTGCCTTCATCTCGAGATCAAACTGCGAGTAGGAAGTATCGGGCATACTGTCGAAGAGCTCATCCAGATTGTCCTTGGAGTCAATCGGTGAGGTTGGTGGTGTTGTGAACTGACTTGACTGGACAGACGACCGCGAAGGCGATGCCGTTACCTTCAAAGGACTAGGTTGGACGGGCGCATGTGAGTCATTTGGCGACCCAGCAGAATTTGGGCGCATATCAGCAGGCGACATTGGGGGTGTATGAGAGTGCTGAGAGAGTTGTTGAAGAATGTTCATAGACGCAGAGTCGTTGGCGTAGGAAGTTGAGCCAAAGCTCGACTGGGAGAGGCCAGCATCTTCAGGATAAGGGCTTGATGAGCTCTCAAAACTGTATTATTTGTCAGATTTGGACAGTGACAGGATTGGTAGAAGAACTAACCTGAAAGGATCTACAGAAGAGTGCATGGAGTCATTGTAGCTCTGTGAGTCCGAAAGCAGCTGAGGGAGATCTTGTGATTGAGCTGGCTCAAAGCCAACTAGCGGTGAAGGAGACCGAGCATCCGAGTTTGGCGAACCAGCTGATGATGAAGGTGCTGACACAAGGGCGCGTCGCGTTCTGCTGGCCTTGTCGACGCGTTGCTCCATATCCGGCCGATTCTTCTTCGGTCGGCCACGCTTGGCCTGTCGACGAACTGCATCGGGGAATCCACCGACACACATGCCACGCTGGCGATGGCGCGTAAGAGCGTCCTGTCGTGCAAACCCTGCACCGCACGGGCACTTGTATGGCTTGTTGCCAGAGTGGATCTTTGCGTGGCGCTTCAGGTCGTGTTGTCGAACGAAGCACTTACCGCATCCGTTGCACTTGAACTGGCGGTCACCAAGATGTGTTTGGATATGCGATCGAATGTTTTCCCTTCGTCCAAAGACCTTGCCGCAGCCTTGGTACAGGCAGGTCCACTTACCGGTCGTCGCGTCTTGCTCACTAATGTATCTTTGAACTTCCTCGGGCGCGATACCAGTGTACTCGTAGCTAGCGTCCACATCCAGGTCGTTGAACATTTGAGAGGGCGCAAACTGTTCAATGGGTGTTTGCAAGCTGTTAATGGGCACTGCGCTTTGGGGAGTAGGCAACAAGCCGTGTGATTGCGCGAAAACCATCTCTTGGTTCTCTTCGATGTTCTCCAAGATAGACTGAGCAGGCTTTTGTCGTGGCGAAGAGACGGGCGACGGCGACAAGGCGTCGGATGTGTAGTACGAAGATGAGTCGTAACCAAGGTCCACTTCTGGGTTTTCAAAGTCGAATGTCATGGCTTTTGAGGTAGGCTCGAGATTAATGTCGGACATGCCGGTAAAGGCAGCTGAGAGACCATTTTGACTGAAAGATTCATGGCTTGGCAACTGCGCTGGCTTCTGTGGGGTCGAAGTGGGTGTAGGTAGAATGTTGATGAAGACTTGTCCACATGAGCCATACACAGACTGAATGTGCTCGTGGAGTTCTTTCAATTGCTGTTCAGTTGGGGGTTTAGAGGGGGAAGAGGGAAGCTGCGTGGGAGATTGCACGCGGGTTAACCTTGAGGGAGTCCGCGGTGTTGATGAAGTGATCTGTACTGGGGATGCCAAGAAGGTGTCCTGGGGGCCCGGCTGGGGCTGTCTGTGCGTCTGCGCTACTTGCATAGAATGCTGTGATGATTGTCCTAGATTGTTAGTATTACTTACCGTACTGTCTTCCTGCTGGAAGGAGGGGATGTCGAAGGGTCCTGGTCGTTGGGCGTATTCCTGGTATTGGGCTTGTCGCGCGGCATGGATGGAGTCTAGGTTGAGGCCGCGTAGATCCAAGCTCATGCCGGTCCGGTGTGATCGTCGTATTTTAGCAGGCGATGGGCGTACTGTAGGCGCGTCGAAAACAGTTGGTGTCGAGTTTTGTCGACGGTGCTGAATCCGTTGGCGCTGGATGCCGGCTGGCATATTTGTGGACAGCATATCTTATGCAGGTCGAGTCCGGAATCGGTTCTCGAGGATGGGGGAAGTCCTATTGGGTCCGAAACTGATGCATGTTAATGGTCATGTTACTTTGAAGTCGCAGTGTCGAGAATGCGAGCTTGGACGTTGGAATAAATGGATATCCAGACTTACCTCACGCAGTGCAAGCGGCGCTCCGCCGGGCGGTCGGTGTCCTTATGGTATCCTCAGTACAGATGCAATCTCCCAGTAGCCTGCGTCAAGTAAGTAATGGGCCGAAGCCTGTGCGACTAAGTCTGAAGACAAAGAAGTGTTTTAGTGTGAGTCGCTAAACAAAGCAATTGATACTAGAGATGAAGAAAGTGTGGGTGCAGAAGATGGAGAGTAAAGTGGAGGATAATAAAAGTAGCGCAGGCGGGGACAGCTGAGTATTACCGTATGAGGTCAGGACACAACAATCGCTGGCATATCCGTCACCCCAGCGACGGCTAGCCGCCCATGGCCGAGGCTGGCGCTAGTATATCCACCGCGCCTGGGCACAATCACGTGCTTTTCGATCTGCATCGCGCACGGATGCTGCTGTCGCCGCCCGCCGTGCTCGCTTACGAGATCCACACGAATTTCATCCACCCGAGCACTTTCCCGCCGACTTTTTCTTTTCACACCCTTTCTGCATCACGCTGAGGAAAGCAATCACGACACGATTGCTTAGGCCGCCATGCAGATCTTCGTGAAGACCCTGTAAGACGATACCCGCGCACAGCAGTAGCAGCAGCTCATTCAGAACTAACACGCTGGCAGTACGGGCAAGACTATCACCCTTGAGGTGGAGTCGTCCGACACCATCGACAATGTAAAGGCCAAGATCCAGGGTACGTACAGCTCAGCGAAGATGCTTGGACTTCGCCATCTGACAGTCACCAGACAAGGAGGGCATTCCCCCGGACCAGCAGCGTCTCATCTTCGCCGGAAAGCAGCTCGAGGACGGCCGCACTCTTGCCGACTACAACATCCAGAAGGAGTCGACCCTCCACTTGGTCCTCCGTCTCCGTGGTGGTGGTAAGAAGAGGAAGAAGAAGGTCTACACCACCCCCAAGAAGATCAAGCACAAGCGCAAGAAGACCAAGCTAGCTGTGCTCAAGTACTACAAGGTCGACGGTGATGGCAAGATCGAGCGTCTCCGCCGTGAGTGCCCCCAGCCCGAGTGCGGTGCTGGTGTCTTCATGGCCGCTATGCACAACCGCCAGTACTGCGGAAAGTGCCACCTCACCTACGTTTTCGACGAGGCCAAATAAGCGCGCCACTACCGGGGTACGCGACACGATCGATAACGAGTAACGGCATCATGGCATGGCTGGGAGGAGCTGAATAGGTTCCACCGCATTGTCAGACATGTACCATCAATCAATCAAAAAAACTTGTCATGGACCAGATAAACAGCCAATGGTTGTATATGTGAATGCTCATGTTGTATTGCCCGCACTGACGTCAGGTTCATAATCTATTCGCTAATATGGTTGTCCGTGCTTGGTGAAATGAAAGCCCGTATTGGTGGCGCTAGGACCAGTGGGCTGATTGCTGATTGCTGATAACCTGATAGTAAGTACTAATTAAGCGGATGTGGTCGGTCGCCTGTTGCCATGGCGTCTTGCGGACGAATAACCTATTTTTGGGTAGATGCGTTTCAGCGCTGATCCGTTATTCTACTGTCATTGGAGCGTATGCTTCAGCTAGTGCACTCTCCAATGAGTTATACAATCATCGAAAGATCGAATGGAAATATGCAAATGTTCTCATGGATAAGAATAGAGAATCAAATTTGGTATACAGCAAGTCATTTCACAGACACAGGCATGAGTGAAGTCGGAATATTTTGTTATTTAGACATGAGTGGAAAGCTACGCATTTGCACGCTTGCACCTCGCTTTTTCCCAGAGGGTAGTTATACATGATCATGATGCGCGAAGAAGAGTTGGGGAGTCCATCATCCTTGTCGTATCATCTGCTTACTTCC